GGGTTGTTTCTAACCCATTTTTATTTCAAGCAGTACTGCAGTGAATGCTCTTCTACTTCTTCTTCTTTTTTTTTTTTTCCTAAAAAAAACCTCCTAGAGCTGGTTAATAACTTCAGTAACATTGCAGGATACAAAATAAATGCCTCAAAATCAGTTGCACTTATATACTCAAATAATGAACTACAGAAAGAGAATTTTTTTTTTTTCCCTAAAAAAAACCTCCTAGAGCTGGTTAATAACTTCAGTAACATTGCAGGATAAAAAATAAATGCCTCAAAATCAGTTGCACTTATATACTCAAATAATGAACTACAGAAAGAGAAATAAAGAAAGTAAGCCCATTTACAATTGTCATGAAAAAAATAAAATACCTAGAGATCAATTTAACCAAGGAGGTGAAAGACCTGTACAATGAGAACTACGAACCACTTCTGAAAGAAATTAAAGAAGACAGAAAAAGATGGAAACAAAAAGATGGAAAGATATTCCACGCTCTTGGACTGGAAGAATTAACATTGTGAAAATGTCTATACTACCCAAAGTGATCTACAGATTCAATGTAATCCCCATCAAAATACAATGACATTCTTCACAGAAATGGAAAAAAACAATCTTACCCTTTCGTATGGAACAACAAAAGACCCCAAATAGCCAAAGCAATTCTGAGCAAAAAAAATAAAGCTGGAGGCATAACACGACCTGACTTTAAATTATACTACAAAGCTGTTGTAACCCAAACAGCATGGTACTGGTATAAAAATAGACATTCAGACCAATGGAGCAGAATTGAGAACACAGAAATCGCCCCTCAGGCTTACAGCCATCTGATATTGGACAAAGGGAACAAAAATCTACATTGGGGAAAAGACTGCCTCTTCAACAAGTGGTGCTGAGAAAACTGGATATCCATATCAGAAGAATGAAACTAGATATGCACCTCTCACTATGCACTGAAATCAACTCAAAATGGATTAAAGACTTAAGTATAAATCCTGAAAGTATAACATTATAAGGGAAAATATAGGTGAAACACTTCAGCAACTAGGTCTGGGCACAGACTTTATGAACATGAACCTGAAAGCACAAGCAGTAAAAGAAAAAAATAAACAAATGGGACTATATCAAACTAAAAAGCTTCTGCACAGCAAAGGAAACAATCAACAGAGTGGAATGACAACCTACAGAGTGGGAGAAAATTTTTGCTAACTATGTATCAGGCAAGGGATTAATATCCATAATATACAAGGAACTCAAGCAATTATACAGTAAAAAAACAACCCAATTAAAAAGTGGGCAAAGGACCTGAATAGACATTTTTCAAAGGAAGACATACAAATGGCGAACAGGTACATGAAAACATGCTCAACATCACTAGTCATCAGGGAAATGCAAATTAAAACTACATTGAGATACCACCTCACCCCAGGTAGACTGGCTATAATCAAAAAGACAGTGAATAACAAATGCTGGCAAGGGTGTGGATAGAAGGGAATGCTCCTGCACTGTTGGTGGGACTGTAAATTAGTATCACCACTATGGAAAACAATATGGAGGTTTCTCAAATAACTACAGATAGATCTTTCATATGATCCAGCTATCCCACTTCTGGGTATATACCCAGATGAATGGAAATCATCATGTCGAAGGGATACCTGCACTCCTATGTTCATCACAGCTCTGTTTACAATAGCCAAGACATGAAACCAACCTAAATGTCTATCGATGGATGATTGGATAAGGGAACTGTGGTATATATACACCCTATATAAATAGAAATACTACACTGCCATAAAAAAGAATGAAATACTCCCATTTGCAACAACATGGATGAGCTTGGGGAAACTTATGTTGAGTGAAATAAGCAAAGCACAGATGGATAATACCATATGTACTCACTTATATGTGGGAGCCAAGAGAGAAAGAAGGAAGGAAAGAAAGACCACAGTAGTGCATTGGACTTGCAGAGGGAGAGAACATACCTAGGGACACAAAGTGGAGTTGGGGGGAAAGAGGCAGGGAGAGTGAGGTTGGGTGTAATTGGGTGGAGGTCATGGGGCACAAATGCAATTTGTGGTAATGGGTATGCTGCCAGTATGAATCTGGCCCTGACATCATGGGCACCATGAGGGGTGACAATCAGCTTTGTATTCATGAATATTCATAACCATTAAAAAAATGAATGCTCTTCGTTATTTCATATATGTGAAAATGTATTTGCTCTTTAATGTCTAAACAGTAGTTCTAGCTGTCCCCAAGTAGATCTGCAGTTCTTATTAGATTCCCCTCCCCAAAATCTCTGAGTATCCCTAGGCAATGCTTATAACACTCATTCCACAAATCCATCCTTGGATTTACTTGCCACACAGCCTCCCTCCAGACCACTATGCTATTGTGAGTGAGACTCCATCTTGCCATGTTGGATCTGGCTTTTCTGGGGCTCCTGCCTCTTGCTCTGCTTCTCTCTGCCTCAGGACTCTTCCTTAATCACCTGCAGCACAGCCAAGACCAGGGTTTGGCAAATTAGTCCATTTCTGTTGCTTATAACAGAATACCTGAAACTGAATCTTACAGTTTTGGAGGCTGGGAAGTCCACAGTCCAGAGCACACATCTGGTGAGGGCCTTCTACAATGATGCAGGGTGTCACATGGCGAGAGAATGGCCTGAGCAAGAGTGAGTTAACCTTCTCACTTGCTCTCCTTATAAAGCCATCAAAGTCACATGTATCACTCTGTGAATGGATCCATCCATTCAGGAAGGCACAGTCCTCACAATCTAATCACCTCTTAAAGGCCCCATCTTTAAATTACCATAATCTGATTTCCCACTCTCTTAAAACTGTTACAATGGAGATCAAATTTCAATGAGTTTTGGGGGGCCATTTCCATCCACAGCAGTGGTATTGAACAAAAGTTAACTGAAGGCTTAGGTGTAACAGAAGGGGATTGCGATAAAAGAAGAAAACCCACAGCTCACATATGCCTGCACACAGACACACTTTAAACCCGGACACTGAGTGTGATGCTTCCTGCGTCCACAGGCCTAACCTCTCTGCAGCGGTACTCACCTGCCATCTTCTCTCCTTCTCAGCTGACCTTGGTGCTGCTGCGGGGGCCTCCACAGGTCTCCTCAGTACAGATTCCAAACTGTTTATGGCTCCCAAAGAGGAATAAAGTTTTCTGAAAGGGAAATATGATCTTTAGAAATATTGCTTTGTCTACAATAAAGACTTAATATTTTTAATTACATTTAATATTTTTAAGCAGAGATATTTACTCATTTTTTTGAACCCCCTCATTCTAGAAAAAAACTCATTGCTTTTTTGATTTGAGTGTCAGCAAACTGCAATCTGTAGGCCAGATATATTCTACTGCCTGTTTCTGTACAGCTGGCTAAGCATGGTTTCTACAGGTGAACATTTATAACCAACTGGATGATAGGGGTCATGAACTCTTTTTCTCTTCCTAAGAAAAAGAATACCATTCTTCTCATTAGGAGTCCTATACTAGAAAAGATTATTATATTTTGAATTTTATTAATAAGATTTTTTTTTGTGAAAATCTTTATTTTTTCTCTTATATAATATCTTTGGTTTTGCCTCTTAGCCTGTAAGGCTTATCATTTTTCTGTACTGAAAATGTTTGCTGATCCCTGATTTGGGTGATTACAGAATAATATTTTAATGAGCATTTTACAATATAGAGGTAAGCCATCTTTTCTCAAAAGTAAACCCCATGTTCTAGCTCTAGAGACACAAACTGTTTGTATCTTTAAAAAGACAATCTTAATTACCCCAAATCGAACACAGATGATAATAAGGAATTATTGCTAATATTTCTAGTTGTGAAAATGCTATCGTGTTGTTTTTAAAAAAATTCCCAATCTATCATAGATACACATAGAAATATAGGCGAATTCGTATGATGTCTGCTCTAAAAATACTCCAGAAAAAACGTGGCACGTGTGATGGAATAGATGAAACAACAGAATTTGAACATTTTCATAACAGAAAAGGCAGTCTCCCCACTCTTGCCTTTGAAAAACAAATATATATATTATATACATATATATTACACACACACATATATATATATATATATATATAGAGAGAGAGAGAGAGAGAGAGAGAGAGATGTATAAATATACCATATCTGTCTGGTCCAGCCGCAGCCAGCGCGATCCAGTAGAGAGGAAAGCCCAGTGCTTTGCCCAACCGGATATGCCTGGGGCTACCAATCCAGGCTGTCTGTGAACAGGAACACGGGGATGTCCTGGATGGCCAAGGGACACTGGCACACAGCCAAGCCGACAGCCATCCACCCCCAGGAGGAGGAGTGGGGCTGGGGCAGGGCCATCCTTTCAGTCCTGTTGGAGGGAGATAGCTCTTCAGTTTCAAACCCGCGGAGACATCTGTGTGGGTCTTTGATGAATCCAAGAACCCCCTCTGTTCGTCACAACTTCAAGTGAGAAGGTCATGTTTTAGTCACAATCTAGAGGAATGGGGAGTGGAATCTTCTTAACTTGTTTACATTAAAGTTATTAGCTGATTAGTTCTCGTAGAAAATGTAGATGCTTATATTTTTCTGACTTTTCCATTTCTCTTGTAGCTGCCCAGTCAGGAATCCTGGATAGAACAATTTCCATGATTATGAAGAATCGAACGCCAACAAGGAAGGTTTGTATGCCTTGTAAGAATCATTATCTTAATTATCTCCCATTTTACATGAAAGCAGTGTTTTCTCACAAGGTTGACACTTTCTTAATTAGTTTCTTCAATATGGACACTTCAATTTTTGCCTTTAGTACTATTTTTTTGTATATAATTTACATTTTTCACAAGTACAAAAAAATTAGAATGTCAAAAAAAAATTACAATCACTCAGAGCAGTTCTAACGAGTTTACATAATACCATGAAAAAAAATGTATATAATTTACATTTTTCACAAGTACAAAAAAATTAGAATGTCAAAAAAAATTACAATCACTCAGAGCAGTTCTAACGAGTTTACATAATACCATGAAAAAAAATCTTTCCAACTCAGTCTCATTTACAATTTCAGTATGATGGCTACACATCGTGTCCACTGGTGACCAGCTACAACCGGGTGATTCTTGCAGAGTTTGACTACGATGCTCAGCCGCTGGAAACCTTCCCCTTTGATCAGAGCAAAGAGCGACTTTCCATGTACCTCATGAAAGCTGACATGATGCCTTTCCTGTACTGGAATATGTTGCTAAGGTTAGTGCATCGCCTGGTTCTGGGGTGAGCAAAGGGGCCTGTAGCACACCTACCACCCGCAGGGATACAGCCTGTTCTCTTCATTGGCAGTGACCATGTCTTTTGTCTTCCATGATCTATCTAGCCCTTCCAAGATCTGACTTTCACATGTCAAGTACTTCTCCTCTGCTACCTTACTTTTGTTTCCATTACATTGCAGGAAAAATAAAACATTGCGATTAAGAGCGTAGACATTGGAGTCGGACCTGTATTTGAGTCCGCCATTTACTAGCTTTGTGTCCTAGAGCAAGCTGCTTAAAGTCTGTGTTTAAGTTTCTTATCTGCAAAATGAAAGTAACATTGTTTACCTCACCAGATGGAGATTAATGAGATAGCACATAAAGAGATAACACATAGTAGGCATTTGATAACTAGAGTAATGAAAATTAATAGTTCCTCTTCTTTGTTCCAGAAAATGATCTCATTTGACTTTTCCAAACCCATATGAGATAGATAGGTCAGGATATCTACACCAGTGGTCCTCACCCAAAGGGACGTGTGGCAATATCTGGAGACATTTTTGGTTGTCACAACTGGAGGGGTGCTACTGGCATCTAGTGAGCAGAGGCCGGGGGTGCTGCTAAACATCCTACAATGCACAGGTCAGCCCCCAGAACAAAGAATTATCTGGTCCAAAATGTCAATAGGGCCAAGGTTGAGAAATCCTGACCTACAGTTAATTTATGAGCAAAGGAAAGCAGAGAGGATAGCAGTTTGCATGTAGTAGAGGCTTCGTGCAGGTTTGCTGAATCACACAGCAAATCGATGTCAAAGCAGATTGTCCCTCCTAGCCATGGGATCTTTCTACCTCACTAGATAAATCGTGCTTTACGTGCTGATAAGTACCCTCTGTGAGCAGCCTGGCTTCCCTTTCAACATCCTGCTGGCTGAAGTCACTCCATCTCTTTTGCTGTGAATATCTTTTCTGTGTTATTTCTTACAGGGGTTACTGGGGAGGACCAGCCTTTCTGCGGAAGTTGTTCCATCTGGGTATGAGTTAAGGATGGCTCAGCGTTTGTTCTTTTTGGATGGCTTCTGGAACAAAACCAGTCTCTGATGGATCAACAGCAGCATGAACGACTGAGAACCTAACACTGTAAAGAGTTTTTTGCTGGATAATGGTGACCAAATGCCTCTCTTTTCAGTACCTATGAACAGCCACCATGTAGGCTGCCCAGGATGGGCTTTATTCTTTGGAAACATTCAAATGAAAGAGAATTCTGTTTTCTAAATAAAAGTTTGTCATTGATTGAGTTCTATGAGAACATTTTATCTTGACTGGTGGGAATGAAAAATTATAGTTTTTGGGAGAAAAAGATGGTGGTGGTGGGACAGATTACTTGTTAGCTACTATGACTATTCGACTTATATCTGGCATAATTTCACAGAGCCTATTTGGATTGACAGAAAAAGAGTCATGCCAGGGACAATATTGTTTCAAACACAGTGCGCGGTAGCCCTGAACATGTGCTGCTTGGAACTCCTGCTGTGGATCTTGGTGGACTGTGAGCCCAGCTGCCATCCCTCTGGTCCCACCACCCTATTGGTGCTGAGTTATGCTTTCTCCAAGCCAGTAATTGAACATGGTGGGGTACTAGTGCCAGCATACTCCCTGGGGAGTGAGACTTCTCTGCAGGACAACTTTGGCTCCAGGACTCCCCGTCAACCCGGCTGAAACTTTCTTAGAACTGCACTAAGACTGAGGTTCTCTTATCCAGTCCTCCTTCCTTCCCCCTCTCCCTTCTCAAGGGTTTTACCTCTATGTGATCTGAAGATCAGCCCTGCCATCTCCTGTTCCTTCTCTTGTATCCTTCACTGGCATTCCCCCACTAAATCTCTTGCAAATCTATTTCTCTCATGGCATCTGTTTCTTAGAGAACTAACACAGTGAGATTGGGGTTAGAGGAATCCCGATGTGTGTGGCAAGCATTTGCTCGATTTAGTAAGAATGTTGGCCAATAAAGTTTTGAATAAGTTCACATTGGACATATTGCAGGAAATAATTCTAGTTTATTTGAAGCTTAGCAGTGCCTTCAAAATAATTTGTTCCCAATCAGTTTATTGTGGAAATTTGCAGCTTCAGCTCAATCTGACATTTTAAAGCTGTGTACATTTCATATTTACCAACTCCCCCAAAGGGAAGGGCATAGCAGTCTATGCAACAAGCCCTTTTATGTGTTACTAGGGTTGTCAAGTCTCTCTGGTTTCCTGAAGTTCTTGATGACTTTAGAAACTCTGTTCATTCATTCATTCATTCATTCAACAAATATCTACCGAGCACCTACCACCTGCCAAGCACTACTTTCTACCCAGGTGATGTAATGGTGAACTAGACAGATAAGGGTCCTGCTCATATTCTAGTGGATCCTGTGGTAGTCTCCCACTCTTACTTGCCTGGGATGCCAGGAATCTTGCTGAGTGAGGCCACGAATTGATGTGGGAAGTAGGCTTTCTTCAGTGGCACACATTCTGGGACAGAGCAGGGTACCAGCCTAGCAGCAGGCTCCTGTCAACAGGGGTGGAAGATGTTTTCTAGGGAAACCACACATCCTGGTTTGTCTGGGACCTTCCTGTTGAACAGCTACTGTCCTGGCATAACTTAACAGTGCCCCCTTTAACTCTCCCAAATGTCCTAGTTTGGACAATAGATTATGATCACTCTAGAGATCACTCTCCGCTTCCACTGCTCTCCAGTCCCAGAATGGGAGAATCGTGCTACAAATGGGACTAACTCAGGTCTTGTCCCCTCATTTGCTTTCACATGGTGCTAGTGAAACAAGCAGGGGTGGGATTATTTTGCCCTGTTCTCTGAGTCCTGGCAAAGAAACTCTGTGCCTTTCTGGAGTTCCTGCTGGAGACTGCTGTGACCTGGCTCCTGGCGGGCTGCTCGCTCTCAGTGTGGGAATCTGTCCCGACCCGCGGGATATTCAATGCAGACCCTGGAGGGGGGACTGGGAATTGGATGGGACAAGAGACACGAGAAATGGAGACAAGACAGTATTCTGATCAAGTCTCGTTTATTGATTCTTAGGTTACATCTTATATAGGAGAAGGCAGGCATGCTGCAAAGGGTCTGGAATGTAAAGATATGATAATATCTTGAGGAGAGACAAAGACAGGACATTCAAAGTAAAGGTTGCCACCCAGAATGTTTATAGTTAAACAGTTTCTAGAGAAGGATAAAAGGTCACTTGCAAATTAACTTGCATAGCCAGGAGCAATCAGTTTCTGGCATAAAGATTTCGAGGCAGTTATCATGTAAAGCACGGCCATCTGAGCAGATTGTCAAGGAGAAGCGGTCTCACAAGAAGGGGTGTGGAGCTTCAGGCCCCCAACAATTAGAAAGACTCACAGAACTCACTGAAGCTTATTATATGAATGGTTATACTTATTACAGAGAAAGGATACATTAAACATCAGCCAACGGAAGAAACACAAAGGGCAGAATCTGGGAGGAAGCTCAAAGCAAAGTTTCCTTCATTCTCAAGATGCATTATCCTCCTTCCATAGACTAAGACAATACACACAGAGTATTTCCAATCTGAGAAGCTCACCAGTATCTAAACAAGGCTCTGAGGCCTCGAGGCAATAGCCGGGCTCTATGGCTCCGGACAGGAATCTGGGAGAGTTGCAGGCTGTTCACCCCAAATGATACAGCCAGGACTGTCTACTTGGATGTGGACAAAAGTGCTGGCAAGGTTGGTTTCTGCATTTTTGGAGAACTGGGATATGATTCCCGGGAATGGCTGAGGCATGGGTGGAGTAACTTTGAAATCCTTGGCAGAGTTAACTTGAGCCTTCTGGGTCTGTTTCTGAATAAAACCTCCAAGCATCAGGGAATTGCTTCTGGGTTCACATCATGCTGGACAGAATTCATTGCCAAGACAGGAGGGAACAGTGACTACTGCTGGCCAGCACGTTGGTCTCCAGCTTTCATTCCTCTGAGCTGGGTAATGTAACAGATATGCTGAATTCCAGAATAGCTTAGCCTCAGAAACCTTACCACCTTATCCACAAATTTGGGGTTGGCAAAGAGAGAGGCTTTCCCTTGCGACTGCCTCCATAATTAGGAGTGGGCAGAAGGAAGAGAAGGTAAGACTAGGGCAGGGAGAAAGGGAGGTCCTGCCCTGCGGAGGGCTCCCAACTCAGACAGAAGCCTTCGGAGCCCAGAAGTGACACAGTGCTGGGACCGCTGACCTGGGGAATCCCCCTTAAACCCTTCATGCCTGTCTCCAGAGCTTCCTCCTGCTCAATTTCTCCCTCACTGAGGGAGTTTTTGGAGGAATGACAGGAGATTGTAGCAGTGTGAGTGAGGTATGGACTGGGGAGAAGACTCCAATTAGGGTGACCAAGGCCAGGGCCAACTAACTTCAAGATGACGAGGGCTTGATCTAAGGTAGTGGACCAGCCCGTGGCTCACTCGGGAGAATGTGGTGCTGATAACACCAAGGCCACGGGTTCGGATCCCATATAGGGATGGCTGGCTTGCTCACTGGGTGAGTGTGGTGCTGACAACACCAAGTGGAGGGTTAAGATCCCCTTACCGGTCATCTTTAAAAAAAAAAAAATAAGGTAGTGGCACTAAGAGCAGGAAAAAAATTCATAGATATTTAGGTTATCATATCAGTCAGGAAAACAGAAACCACTATATAATAGTCTAAGCAGAAACAAATTAAATATTACAGAGTTTGGCAAATTATGACCTGTGAGCCAAATGTAGCCTGCTGCCTGTCCTTATACATAGACTTTGTTGGAACACGGTCATGCCTATTTGTTATGTGATGTTTGTCGGTGCTTTTGCACTAAAAGGCAGAGTCGAGCAGTTGTGACAGAGACCACATGTAGCCTGCAAAGCTGAAATATTTACTATCTGACCCTTTACAGAAAAAGCTTGCTGACTTCTGGAACACTGCTAAGTAGGTGCTTACAGAATTCTAGGTAGGGCTGGGGAACGAGAATCATAGAAAACTACTGTTGGTTTTCAGGAGATCAGAGGGCTGCAGAAGGTGCAGAAATACTGGCTCCGGTAATCTTGGCTGTTTGTCGGCCACGTCAAAGTAGGTGATTGCAGAAGGTTGCCTAGAGCTGACTCAAGCCTCCAGTCTACAGATGCAGATGCTCCCCTGCCCAACCCCGCACCTTTGCCAGAGGGCGAAGGGCTTCTCTTCTGCCTTCCAATCTGGCACTAGTGTCCCTTATTGGCTGACTCTAAAGTCTAAATGGAACTGGATGTTTTCCAGCATTTTCTCTTGATACACGGATAAGTGTAGAAGGGATAGGGATAGGGAAGTCCAGGGCCTTGAGGTGACTAGTGAGGGTAGATATTTGGAGGCTGGGATGAATCCCAGCTTGGGTAACTGTGATGAATTGTGTTGCCACTCATGGGAAGGAAGAAGAGCAGAAAAGAAGAAGATTCTGAATAGAAGGGGAAGCCCCGTCAGGAGGTTAAATTCCCAAACCCCTGCCAACTGTGGAGTGGAGTCACAGCCATCTGCCCCAATGGGACTTTACTCAGATTTATTCATAGCGTAAAACCATATAGTTCTTTTGACTTAAAAAAAAATTGGCATTTCAAGCCTGTGATTAACAGATCCTGCTATGGCTGATGAAAGCCAGCTCACAGGCTAAAGCAGTTATGAATATTCCTTTTGGTAGGTTTAAAGGAGACCTTCCAGGAGTTGGGAAACTTTGGCAATCTCTTTAGGCCAGAGGCTCTGCTGGCACGCATAGTCTGTAAAGGACAGAGGGAGGCCTGAAGTAAAGCAGCAAAGTGAGAGGAATAGACTGGAGGGAGAGGCGGTAAGAGCCAGAGGGGTGGAGAGGAGAGAAGGCGATGCTCCCAGGACAGGCCTCATTAAAAAGGTAAGAGGTCACCTAATTCCCTTTGGGGGCAATGGGAGGATATGGGACAGGGCGCTGGGACCACAACTGCTGACCAGCTCTAGGCGTCTGTCCCCGCCTTGTTTACTGTCAGTCAGGGCCCCTCCTTCTCCCACAGCAGGCTCCCTGCTGTTGACTGGGGACTGTGCTCTGAAATTTAACACGATTGTGGCAGAAAACTCTCTCCACCCTATACCCTTATCTGAGCAGAGACTCAAGGACCTCAGTTGTGTGCTTTTTCACTCCAGCAGAATTGATTTCATTAGCTTTACCTCCGCAATTTGGTAATAGTTCAGCTCACAAATCCATCCTTACATCCTACTAATTCACCTTATGCTGACTAATTAGTGGTTGTCTTCTAAGTAAGTATCGC